TTAAACATGGAAACTTTTTAACATGCTTTGTCGCATTTATATGCTACAGGTTACAAAGTGAGATCCTTGTATACACTTCAGTACTTAAAAAGTACCCGTATTCAGTACTCAGCCGGCAGCATAATGAAAAGTGGGACTAGACACGGTGTCCATATGGAGAGGAAAAAATTATATATATATATATATATATACACCTAGAATATTTTTTTTAAACCAAATGTGTACAATTGTATAAATGGAAACCTTCTGTAACTTTGGTAACTGCATATAGTAATTTCATGTTTGGTAATGAAACTTAGAGGGGAGGTGTAATAACTTTAGAATTGTGTAAAATTAAAAGTGTAAAACACCTGTTTAAAAGGGAAGGATTACATATATGGTGTGTACTTTGGGAACGAAGGAAAGCTGCATGCATCAGCTTGGAATTGTGTTAATTTAAATCTTTTATGGGTTAATGATGCAATACTTGCTAACCGTTTCCTGTTCTTCTCCCTCCTTTTTTCTTAAATTCACATTTTTGGACTTTTCAAAAGCAACAACAATAATAATAATAACAATCACCCCACTTCCTCAATGAGGCTTTATTTGCCCACTAATTGTATTTCATGTTTCTAATGCCCTGCCTCAAAAACACAGATACGGATCTTTGCGGAGTTGTGATACGCAAAGTTGCATCCTGAGACCTCACAATACGGTGTAAATTCTGTAAGAGCTCCTTTCACAGAGACTGTTAAATCCAGTAAGAGACCTAAATGTATGGTTTAATGACTTGTCAACTGCATTGTATTCTAGGGTTTGCTGTCTTTTTTCCCCCCTTTTCTTTCCTTTCCTTTCCTTTTCTTTGAACTGTTAATGTTAAAAGGTTTCCCGTCCGGGAATTTGGATGATTCCCCCCCCCCCTCTTGCAAGAGGCTGAGGATGCAACTTTACGTTCGCAAAAACAAGGAGGGAGTTGATGGAGAGGGCTTTCCCCATGTGCCTTGTATGCAAGTATATATATATATATATTTTAAAAAGAAAGGGAAAAAAAAAGAATGGGAAAATATTTCCCCACCACCCCCATTGTTTCCGCTTCCTACCGGTGAGCCAAGTATTGCATAGTTAACATCATTAGCCGTGGAAAAGTCCCACTGCTCCAATGTGGTATCCAGCCCCAGGCAAAACCAAAGGTGGTGCGTTGCGTGTGTAAAGGAGATTTGAACCCAGCTGCCCTGAAGAAAGGCCTAGTGACGAGATGACAGAGACAGACAGACAGACAGACAGACAGATGCAAATGTTTTGGATATGTTAGCCAGTGCCCTTCTCCCAGTTGAGCCCCAGAGGCTCCAAGCGGGACTGGCTATTTTAAAGGGAAGGCCTTCATTTCTTCGTTTATCCCCCCAGCAGCGCTGGAGAGCGAGGTGGCTTCAGTAAGCCTGGTGGTAAGTTTTTGAGCATTACAATGGGATCGTGTTTTAAAAAAAATAATAAAAATAAAAATAATGCAGCCAGAAAAAAAAAAAAACAATAATTAAAATAATGACATAATATTTGTTAGCGTCCTAAACGGTGAAAAAAAATGCCCTATGCAACAGAACTTTTAATGGGTACCTGCCGGCAATGCCTTAATGGGTCTTTTAGAAGGTTTTAACCTACGGTGACAGAACAAAAAGGGTGTTTAAAAAAACAACCGAAGGGTTTTTGAGGTGTTGAGAGAAACTAATTGGGGAAGGAAAATCACTGTTTTTTCAGAGGCTTTGGCGTTTTAATAAGTAACCTTGGTAAACTCGGCAACACTGATTTGACCCAAGAAAATGCCCCCCCCGCCCCGCCCCCCCAAGCCACCGTGTGTGTAATAATACCAGGTGATGATGGTTTTAGAAGGCTGCTAAAACTTGCAAGCCGCAAAAATAAAAATAAGCGTTAAAAAAAGGGTGTTGCATTGCAAAATGGTTTTTTGTTTTGTTTTTGCAGTGCGGTCAATTCGAGTTTTAACCCACGCCATCTTAAATCGCGGTTGTAAATAGGTAGTTGTGTGTTTTTGTTGGGTAGCAGAGCTCACGAGGCAGGCACTAACGATGGCTTCTGTGGTTTCTTTTTCCCCTCCCTCCTGGACGACAGGACACATGGACGACGTCCCAGATCTCGATTTAGGTAACTTGGAAGTCCTGCTGGTTAAGAGGTTCCTCTATCATAGTTGGGTCACACACGCACACACGCACACACACAAAGCAGCCGCCTTTCCCACCTGCAGCCCTTCGTGTCTTGCTGAAAGGAGAAGGCGGCATTTTGACAAACAAGGGGAAAACTCTTGAAGCCCAGAACGGGCAGATCAGCCTCTCCCTGCCCTGGGAAAGCAGTTGGTTCTCTTTTAGAGCAGGAGTCCCTGCCCCCTGGGCTGAGGAACGGCACTAGTCCACAGTGTGCCAGAAACCGGGGCCCTGCAAACAAGCAAAGCCCCATCCACGGGATGCAGGTGGCACGCGAAATCACGCCTACCACCACCACCTGTCCACAGAAAAATGGTTGGGGGCCACTGTTTTAGAGACCCTGCACAAAATTCTAGCTCTTTCTGTCTTTGTATACTTCCTTGCTCTGTACTTGCACTTGACTTACACTCTGCTGGCTGAAGTTAGATTAAGCAGCCTTGCTATTTTGCGATAGATTAGATTGGGTGGATGGCAGGAGGGAGGGGTGACTGGATGGATGAATAGATTAGATTGATAGATGATAGATAGATAGAGTTAGTAGATGATAGATAGATTGAGAGATAGATAGAGTTGGTAGATGATAGATGGATGGATGGATGGATGGATGGATGGATGGATGGATGGATGGATGGATGGATAGATGGATAGAGTTGGTAGATGATAGATAGATAGATAGATGGATAGATAGTAGATGATAGATTGAGAGAGATAGATAGATAGATAGAGTTGGTAGATGATAGATGGATGGATGGATGGATGGATGGATGGATAGATGGATAGAGTTGGTAGATGATAGATAGATAGATGGATAGATAGTTGGTAGATGATAGATTGAGAGAGATAGATAGATAGATAGAGTTGGTAGATGATAGATCGAGAGATAGAGTTGGTAGATGATAGATAGATCGAGAGATAGATATAGATAGATAGAGTTGGTAGATGATAGATCGAGAG